TCATATATCTGGAATATTGTTGAGTGCGACGTTAAACAACAAAAAACAAAAAAACATTGGCATTACCAGATGCAGGTTGACATGCCTGTATCGTTTCAAATGGATCAAGGACCACTAAATTATTGGCTTACGATAAGTTCTAGGAGTTAAGATTCCTTTCAGGAACAGGACCCTGATGTTAGCGTAGTCACAAGAATACGTAGCTGTACACGCCAAAAAATATCATGGGTCAATAAAAAATAGTTGTGAGTATGCAGCTGGAATCTACGTATTCCTGTTGCGTCGTACATAAAACGCACAAGGAAATCGAACCTTCTTTTAAACAGATGTATCTTACAAGATTGTAAACCCAGCGATCAATTTGGATATTTCCGGTACATTTTGACATTGACCATAAACCAAATGCAGGACATAAATTCACCGACATCACTTGTGAAAGTAGCAACAGGCCCTTCTATGTTACTGCGCATCCTTGACGAGCCAATTTCTAAGCAGACGACATCCGTTCCATCGGGCTCCCTTCCTCAATCGAAGCCAACAGCAGTGTAAAGAGTTTAGCTGTAACATTACCACGCGAGCATGATCCCGGAATCAATCGGCGTATACTGAATGCGTATCAATCACCGGGGACAAAGTGCTGTAATCACTAGCGTTAAACAGCTAAGCGGATCCAATGGCAAAATCTATAGAAATGATTGGGCAGCGTATGAAGGCGAGGATCGAGTCGTGTATTAGGTGTCAGAAGTCGACAGGCAACGGACGCACGGTCATCACGTTCGTAATTATAACACATCAAAGCGATGTTAATGGATGAGTTGAGATACACTTAGGTGAGGTGAGGTGAAATGGGGTTTAACGTCGCGTCCAAGATTATTGCACTTATATAGCGACGTGCATGTACGTGTGTGTGTTTTTGTGGCTGCTTGTACTAGTCCGGACTGATGCCGATTTATAGTGCTAGCTCACTGAGATACCATGTCGCAGTTTAACATGAATACCCCACTCAGACACAGTATACTGACTCCGAGCCGACCAGTCCTTGTTTTAGCCCCTTAATGCCGAGCGCCAGACCAACAAGTACCATCTTTTAACGTCTTTTGGTATGACGCGGCCGGGGATCGAACCCCGGACCTTCCGCTCTCCGGGCGGACGCTCCACCATTAGACCACGGAGGCCGTCAGAGATACACTTAGGCTTGACTAGGTTACACAAGCGTGTGACTGTTTATGCTGACAAGTGCAGATCCGGAGCTACGGAAATAAACTCCACAAGTGGTTCACTTCCTGTTTTTCGTGTATGCTCTGTACGGATCTGTATGAAGCAATTAAATGGAGTATTAGCATTGAAACGTTTATTGTCGTTTGAAAGATAGTTTGAATATACTTAAAAACATATTCCCAATAACATATGATTCGGATCAGGAGAAATCATGGATTTTCAGAAACGAATAATATGATGGTAAACGTTTACTACCGACTAGTTCAAATATTTTGGGGGCGTGGATATGTCGTTGGGGTAGTTATATGGTAGGTAAATATATGTGGTTTTAAATTATGTTGGGCTTTGTTTTTGTTTGTTTACGCCGCAAATCAGCAATATTCAAGCTATAAATATAATTATATTCTCAAGAAAAGTACTTCAATGATGTATAGTGTAAGGTCTTCTGGCCCATATAACATACAACACAGAGGTACGAACACAAGACGTTTACTTGACAAAGACAATAACGAGACTCGTTACAATCGAAATCGGATCACGCGTCATAGTCCATGATTCCACGTGCAGCCACCGTTGGGGACCGTTGCGTTCGGGCGAAGCTGTCCAGTACCGGGCACAACCTCACAATAGCTAATTAGGGATAACAGTGAACAGTTGCTCTCCATGGGTGTTTATATCAATTTTTATTAACAAGACTTGCAACGGTGCCGAAAGAAACCCCACAATATCGGATGCCCAACTTGGTTTGAAAAATGGTTATTTAACTATAGATGCAATCTTTGTTTGACATTGAGCGAGTGAGTATGGTTTTACGTCGGCAATATCGGGACGGGGAACACCAGAAATCGATTACAGACATTGTACCCACGTGAGGAATCGAACCCGGCCCTTCGGCATAGCGAAAACGATTTTTGTACCCGGCTACCCCAGCCCCCTCCCCTTCCCTTTCCTTTACACGCGTTACTAAACAAATATATGTTATTAAAACGTCGGTATTGTACATTTGTAGACTTGTGAAAAGCCTTTGATAGTATTGATAAAAATGGTATTCAAAATGTCTTTACAAATCGTGCAAGCTAAAAATGTTGAAAATCATATTATGTATATTTTTGCGATGGGAAATCTTGAGTAAATGTATGAAATGCATCACCGATACTTTTTTCCTTATTTATTGGGGACTTAAAACTTAAACTGCGGGAAAACATTTACAGTGGATTGCTGATAGATAATATAGATATATTTATTGTGTTATTTGCTGATGGGCATGATACTTCTATCGCCCTCATCCTGGGGGCTACAGGGATTGTTAGACAGTTTTACATGACTGTTGTGTTGAAAGGGGTCTTCAAATTAATGCTAATAAATCTAAAGCGATGGTGTTCCGAAAAAGCAGAATAAATATTGGATGTACAGTGACAAACATTTGGATAAAGTGGACAAATTTAATTACTTAAACAATAATTACATGTGATAACAATTTTAAGCTAGATCAAAACTATTTGCGGGTAAAGTCATATAACTATTAACAATCATTTGCATGAAATCCAGACATGTGATTTTACGCCTAGGTTATGTTGCCAATTATTTTATTAATTTGTTACATCTGCCATACATCATAGCCGTGAAATATGGAGTGTTGTGAATTTGTAAGAAATCGAACGTACACGAGTACATCTAAAATTCTAAATATGTTCTCAATGTACATAAAAAGCATGTAATTATGCAAGTTCTCGAAAGATGGGCAGATACCATTTGTAGGAATATCTAGTTATGTTAGAGTAACACGTGACTTGTTCGAGCTGCTACAAAGATCAAACTCTTTACTTAAATTAGAATAATATTGTTTCCTTACATTATTGTGTCATTGTTGTCCAGACTCGATTTTTTTAGACCGCCGCCATATAGCTGGAATATTGCTGAGTGCAGCGTAAAATAACAAACCAAACTATTTACATCTTATATACTATAAAGATAAGACTTGTATTAGTAAAAACATCCGTGATCAGAATAAATAACTCATAGAAACAGGTCTCAATCACACTCAGAGCAGAGAACTAATAATAATATTTCTGAAGTTAAAGATGAGTTCCGCTGTGCATGTGTGCCTGTGGTATAAAGTTAACAGTGTTAAATGTGTTGATCCACAGGTTTGGGCAACGCCAAGTATATAACATATTCTCTTACCAACAAGCACTTGTAAATAACCAATGAATATTTCGAAATAGATAAAATATTCTACTACTTTTGTATAATGAATTCTATCCTCGAGTTGGTCTCGGTCAGCACTGATTAATATTGTATGGTACTGAGATGAAGGACCTAGCGTCCAAGCCTTCGTCAATAAAATATGTCTGTCTGACACAAGCCAATGTGAAATTTGAGGTGTTACGCCATGCACAAGGGCCCTTGTATCATTTTGTTAAACGCCACATTCGGCAATATTCCAGCTATATGACAGCGGTCTGTAATTTGGCCAGACAATCCAGTGATTGACATCATGAGCATCGATCTCACAATTGGGATACGATGACATGCATCAACCAAGTCAGCGAGCCTGACCACCCGATCTCGTTAGCCGTCTATTACGGCAAGCATTGTCGCCTTTTACGACAACCATAGGTTGCTGAAGACCTATTCTACCCCGGATCTCCACGGGTATCATTGGTACATGTACTAAGACTAATCCACAATTGTGTAAAAAGAAAAGTACCAAAGAGAACCATCCACCAGTCACCATCCACTGGTACAAAGATGTTTACGGCGTCTAACATGTCGACACTCGTGGAATGTGGAAAGAATTTCGAAACCGGAATCTGCACAAAAATTACATTCAAAGATGGTATATACAATTATGAGAAAAGTTAATCTCTATAAAGTGTAGCAGGGCGTTAAGTCATCCACACCTTGTCAGCATGCTGACGGGGTTAACATCTTTGGTCACGTGGACAAGGCGTCCGACCTCGTGATCAGAAGGTCCGTGGTTCGAATCCCATTACGGGACTCGGAAATTTTATGTCCGCTTCATTGTCACTCAACCTGGGGATGAATACGTCCATATTAAATCTGAGCAAATAAGCCTCAGTACCCCATTATGCGGCCCGGGACGTGCCTTCTGTTGACGGGAGAGTATGTAGCAGGGAGTGGAGTCATACCACTGACTCGGAAATTTTATGGCCGTTACGAAAGCAAAAAGTGAAGTGAAGTGAGTATGGTTTTACGCCGCTTTTAGCAATATTCCAGCAATATCACGGCGGGGGACACCAGAAATGGGATTCACACATTGTACCCATGTCGGGAATCGAACCCGGGTCTTCGGCGTGACGAGCTAACGCTTTAACCACTAGGCTACCCGACCGCCCCACGAAAGCAAAAAAGGAAAGGTTTAAAACATTCGCGGCCGTTCGCAACGTCACTTTAAAATCTAGTTCTTTTTTAAAGACTTCCCGCATCGTATATTCAGTGTATCTGTCACCTGCCAAGTAGACAATTTGTGTTTTAGTCAAAAAGTTGAAAAAAATATTTAAGAAATTACCTGTCTGGTTCGATTTCAGTTGTTAAATTATCAGTCCTCCTCCATAACTCATCATTTAAAAATAAATAAATTATTTATTCATATGTCGACCAAGCTATGTCTCCATATGTGTTTTTATATTGTTATAGATCGTTTGTTAGGTTTATCAATATACAAAAAGAAATGTCGATGGATTGGGGGTAAGATTTGAACCTGGGGATAATGTATCTACTACATTGATCGCCTTTATAGGGCACGTTGAGGTTGGCTCATTAGAGTTACCTCCCCTGCAAAGCACGTTCTCGTTGATAATTCTGGTTGGTAGTGAAAGGCGTAATCAGAGACGGGATTGTGATATTCAGACACCCAAACCGATTGTCCATGGGTGCATCTGATAATATCATGAATAAAACCATATTGTAACATTTATCAGTGTGTATTTGTGAAATAAGGAGTGAAATTCCGTGTTTTAATATAGAAGGGTTGTCTCCAATCTAAAGAAAAGACATTCAAATTCATGATATTGTCAATGGTCAATATAGATCTAGTGATACAGTTCACATTAGGAAAACACGGATTGAAAATTACTTTTTGGTTTCAAAATTTATTATTTCGAAGTTACGAAGTACACACCTCTAAAATTCAGATGGAAACTTATTGCAGCTCAGATTTGGAAGATGGTGATATTCAGCCAATCACAGAATGGCCTGTTACAGCCAGTGACAATCAGAATGAAACACAGCCAATCAGTGGATGGCCTGTTCAAGTCAACGAAGCACCATATCTTTCCACTTCCATTAAAAAACAACGAACATGCAAAGAAAATGACAGCAGTGTCACGCAATGTGATTCAACGAGAAGGCATTGTGAAACTTCTGAGAATCTGAAGAGGAAAAGGGCGAACCCAGGAAACAGAAGCTGTGTGATGTTGGCAAGAGCTGCCCTAGCAAGATGGTGGAGACAAACAGGAAAATATTCAATCCCAGTGTCAGATCTACCACAGACTCACAATCCAAACACCCTCCTACACTACATCTCAAGGTAGGTAAAACATGGTGATCGGAACAAGTGAAGTTAATGGTATGGACCATGATAATATCTTGTCTAATGAAAGATCAGTGCAGAGCTCCATATTTCTGCATTTCTGATGTGTATTTTACGCAGATACGCAGCTTATCTGGAGCTCAGATCAGTGTTCACCTGTAATCCACCAGTGGGGATTCTGGGTAAGAATATAGAAACCTATGCTTGCCGTGAGAGTCGACTTAAGGGATAGGGTGGTCAGGCTTGGTGATTGCATGTCGTATCCTTTTTGTGTAGATTAATGCTCATGATGTCAATCAATGGATTGTCTGGTCCAGACAATTATTTACAGACTGCAGTCATATAGCTGGAATATTATATTGCGGAGTGTGGCATCAAACACCAAACTGACCAGATGCTTAGATAATTGCTTTCTTCATTGGAGAAAACACTCGGCTAACATGTTCCCATACTACAACAACTGCCTCACCCCTCATGTTGATATTGCAGGAATTTTACTGACTGCAGTGTAAAACATCACTCACTCACTCACTGACACTTATTACTTAACATCAGTAAAACTGTTTATTGCCAGTTGAGATCCAATTCAATTAAAGGGATGTGTCCAATTTTATCATCCTCATATGTGCCGTATATTATTATGATTATATTTAAGATTAATACATTGAAGTTGCAGTACATGTTTGGAATGACCTCTACCATCCACCCCAGATATGACACGAGTGGACACACACACAAGTGTCAAGTGAAAAATACTTGCCCTTAACGTTAAGTATCTGTGAATTGCGTACTAAGTGTCATGTGAGTTTATGGGTAAACATCTTTTTTTTTATTACCCTAAACATTTTAAATGCTAAAGTAGGTTAAATGTTTTTGAATAAATATGAATATTCTTAAAGCCTTTGCACTTTTACCGTGTATAATTTGTCTTGATGAAATAGCAGCCTAAAATGTTTCCTATCCATTTCTAACATTACTTTCATACGAGTGAGTGAGTATGTTTTTTTGCCCCTTTTAGCAATAGTCCAGCACTCTCACGGCTTGGGACACCAGCAATGGGCTTTAAACATTGTACCCATGTGGGGAATCGAACCTCGGCCGTCGGCGTGACAAGTGAACACTTTAACCACTAGGCTACCCCAGCGCCCCTATGTTTATATGAAGCACTGAACTAAAATGAGTTTTCTTTAAATTTTATTTACTGGTGGTGAAGCATTTCGTGAACATTTTTTCAGATGCCGACCAGGTGTGGAGTTTTTGAAAAGCCAGAGAAACAAGTTGGAGATACTATTAGACCTTGGAGAAAGGGACGGGGAAGTCTATGCTGCCTTGGGAACTGTGGAAGAAAGCCTGGGCAATCTCACAAAGGCAGAACAGCATCTGAAACAAGCTCTCACAGAAGACCCTGATAGTATGCTATTGTTTTCTTTGTATTTGTTTGTTTGTGTGACGGTGGTCTGTAAATAACCAAGTCTGGTCCAGAGCATCCAGTGATTGACATCATGAGCACTGAACCACACAATTGGCATACGATGACATGCATCAACCAAGTCAGCGAGCCTGACCACTCGCACTGTTAGCCGCCTCCTACTGCATCTTCCCAAGACAAGGGAGTAAACTGACTGTAAAAGTCTAGTTTCACCCTTGCCGAACTAGGCTGGAATTTTGGTGTTATGTTTTGGCTGGACTAACGAATTTGTGCATAATCCAATCAAAATCGCTGGTGTGTAGACTGACATGCAGATTTCTGTCGATTGCAGGATTTGCAAAGCATGTGTATATGGTGTACCGACAACTTACCGTCAACAGATTTTCCAAATCTTGTGATCACGTGATTTAATGCATGATCAGATCGTCTTCACTGGGTTACACCATTTTATTTGAAGCAAATGCAGGTGATATGAGAGGTGGAATCTGATTGGTCAATAGGCGGGACCTAGAAGGGACAAAACCTGTAAGAGCCACTGGTGGCGTTAAGATCGAGCCTGGTACAGTCAGTTAACTCCCCTGTCTCAGGAAGATGGCTTCCAGTGGCTATTGAGGGCCAGAATAGGTGGATGCAGTGGATTTCAGCACTAATTCCCTGACTGTTTCAGACAAGGAATACCGATGGCACCTGCACAAGGTGGAGAGGCAAGTGCAGGTAAAGCAGCAGCAGGACAAGATGCTGACAGAACTTGCTGGGCACAAATTGGAACTCAGACCTATCAAACAGGTGAGAGTATTGGATGTAATAGACATTTTGAATATCACATTTTTTCTGATCAGCTTTGAATCTGAAAAGGAAAATCTCTAAATTTTGTGGAGTATCATTCCTTATATGTTTTCAGGAAAGGTTTGAAATTAATATTTAATTTAAAAAGAAATTCTCTTTAAATTGTCCCTAACAAATTTCTTTATAAGTTCACTCATAAAAAGAAAATTGATGATATTTGAAAGCCGAAACAACAACTCAATTCCCTTTCAGGTGAAGCGAGTTTCAGCAAGAGGTCTGTCCATGCAAGAGTTTTTCTATGCCTTCGCTGCAACCAGTACACCGGTGGTCATCACGGACTTAGTGGACAAGATGACCTCTGTCCCCTGGACATTGCAGCACATCAGAGATGTGGCAGGTAACATTCATTTCCTTGCTATCAATCTCACTAAACTATATCTATACATGGTGAAACCCTGTTGAAAGTCATTGTCAGCAAGGCACATGAATTGTCCCGTAAAGGTAGTGACCAGCTGATAAGTTGCTAGGAGCTAACGACAAGTTTTTATGTTGCAATTTCCTTCATAGGAAACAAATATATTTTGATGTTGATTTTTCTGTTTATGTTGGTTGGTTTGTTTGTTGTTTAACGCCGCACTAAGCAATATTCCAGCTATATGACGGCGGTCTGTATAATCGAGTCTGTACCAGACAATCCAGTGATTAATATCATGAGCATTGATCTACGCATTCGGGATACAATGACATGCATCAACCAAGTCAGCGAGCTTGACCACCCGATCCCTTTAGTTGCCTCTTACGACAAGGATAGTCGCCTTTTACGGCAAGCATGGGTTGCTGAAGACCTATTCTACCCCGGATCTTCAGGTTATGTAAGCTGGTTTCATATGATGATAAAAAGAGAAGGACAAAGTCTGTTGTTGTTAATGTATCTCTCTTCTTTAGGTGAAGGGGCGGTCGGCTAGCCTAGTGGTTAAAGCATTCACTTGTCACGCCGAAGACCCGGGTTTGATTCCCGACATGGGTATAATGTGTGAAGCCCATTTCTGGCGTCCCCCACGGTGATATTGCTGGAATATTGCTAAAAGAGACATAAAACCATACTCACTCACTCTTTAGGTGAAGTCGGAGTCACCCTGAAGAAACCGGTGGATGGGTCTGTTGAATGGGCAGGGCTTGAGGAGGGGGACACTGTGACCGTGGGAGAATACATAGACCAGACCCTGACCCCCAGGGGCACAGAGAGGCAGGGTGAGGGGAGTGTTCCCTCCGTGCAGTACCTGTTTGATTGGAGCCTCCCCCTACACTGCCCCAGGCTGGTGGAGGAACTCTCTGTACCCAGGTATTTTGCAGGTAGGATTTCATAATTGAGAATTGTTTAAATGACATCTGAACACCGCCTAGAGCAAATCATTTAAAAGTTAAAGATGCTCTTGGATTACCAGTATGTTTAGTCAAATTCTACCAACTTTGACTTTTTATTTCAGCGGGTGGCGATTCTTGGTAGAGTAGGTGCTAGGTATCTCATGCTTGTTTTGCCACACTCTGCAGTATTCCAGCTATGTGATGGCTGTCTGTAAATAACAAATCCGGACCAGAAAATCCAGTGATTGACATCATGAACATCAATCCACACAATTGGGATACGATGACATGCATCAACCAAGTCAGCGAGCCTGACCAAACGATCCCATTAGTCGCCTATTACGACAATCATAGTCGCCTTTTACGGCAAGCATGGGTTGCTGAAGACCTATTCTACCCCAGATCTTCACGGGTGAACAGGATAAGGTGGTTACAATGTGTGACCTGGCTCATTGTGTGTGTGTCAATCATGCCCGCATGGTGTGAATCACTGCTTGTGAGTCGACACCTGGTTTCCTTGAGTCAGACTTGAGTATTCAGACCAATGTGATAAAGCTAGAATACAGATAACAACGGCATAAAACAACATTCACTCATGCCGGTGGATGTGCAGTATCCATAAGGCTGCATCCAATGAATGATTATTTTCCTCGACCACCCTCTGTGACAGTGTGTGTGTGCTGCAGGTGACCTGCTCCAGAGGACCAGTGGAGGCAGCCTGTACCAGGACAGTTGGCCCAGTCTGTTCCTGGCCCCCGCAGGGCTCTGCAGCCAGCTACACATCGATGCCTTTGCATCCAACTTCTGGATGGCTCTCTTCCAGGGCAGGAAACGGTACGTGGAAATTGGAATCACGTTTCTAGATTGATCATCTCATCCCAGCATCCATTCACTTGCCTCCCTCTGTTCACCATCTTGGACCTTGACCTCATAGTCGTAGTCCTCAGGTCGCTTTTGTGAAAAATAATAAAAAAGGTGTCAACTTTCAAAGGATATGACAAGGCTTCATCTCAAAAGACGTTTGAAATGTTTTTATCAAAGTTGGTATATATTTACTTTTGAAGAGAATCCTTATTGTGGAAAGTTTTGTAATTGTAATAAGTCAGACATATGTCCAGCAGTGTAGAATTGCCTAAGTTGTCTCAAGAGAGTCACACTTGGTGTGATTTCATTGCAGCAGAAGTCCCCAGTACCCCATGATTCTTTTAAGAGCATAAATAGGCATTGGTCGGTGATAATGGCTGCCGAGTATAAACAGAGGCGTGTTCAGGAGGGCGGGCGGGCGCTCGCGATATTACGCGAGCGCGCGCTGCTGAACACGGCTTACCGCGCGAGCGCACACGTGTACTCGCAATCGAGCCCAAGAGGTAGTTCACCTCGTAATCCAAGATGGCGTCGCACATTGAACAAATGTTTGCCTTTGGCGAGAATGAAACCGATGTCAATAGAATAATCTTTTAGACAAGATCTACCATCAAAAAGTTATTTTTGCATTTTCAATATATTGACCCGTGATGATCAGGGAAGACAATAGGTCTTCCGCAACCCATATGTTTGCCGTAAGGATCGAGTGATAAGACTCGCTGACTTGGGTGATGCATGTCATCGTATCCCCATTGCACAGACCGATGCTCATGTCGATTGCTGGATTGTCTGGTCCAGCACAGGGACATGTAACTAATAATAAAAATAAACACTTTGTTATCATGAACATCAAAGTATGAACCCATCAAACTTGTGATGAAATTAAATGTGTGAATCTATGACACTTGTGGACAGGGCTGTTTTGATTCCCGGTGACGCCATTTTGGATGCTGTGCCGCGAGAGCGAGTACGCGCCTCCTGTTCAGAAAGGCGTGATATTGCCTCACTGTACTCTCGCACGGTCGCTCGCCCTCCTGAACACGCCTCAGGTCATGTATGGGTGACTATAACGATACAATATGGTGTGTTGTAGATGGACCTTCTTCAGTAGAGGTGACGTGGCCTCTCTGTACCCACGGTACTTTCACTCCATGGACCCGACATTTGATGTCGACTTGACCTCGCCTAACCTCGAGACCCATCCTCTGATGTCCTTGGCCCAGCCTCTGCAGTGTGATCTCAAACAAGGTATCATCAAAATGTTCCCATTACACAGATTGTTGTTACAGTCGTCCTGAAGACTGGAACGTTATGTTCAATAAGGAGGATTCTGGGTAGGCCTCCATCTTGTGGAAAGAATAACTGTAGTACTAATGAGTACATAAAGTTCCCAACAAGCATGGCTGAGCGTAATTATCGATCGTGTTTAGAATGTGACACTTTATAGGTAAATTTTTCACAAACATAATTTATGAAGCATGGATTATCAATTTTAATGAGGTTTGTATTTAATATTAGTGTATAAACATTTCAGGTATTCTGTGACAGATTTCTATCGGTATTTGCTGTACACGGGTGTCACTGCATACCACTTTCAAAGAATGTTGGTATGAGGGTTGGCCAACCACCTTTTCTCATCTTCCCTAGTCAAGGGAGTTAACTGACAATCAGAATCCACCCATGCCTAAACGAAGCTAGAATTGTTGAGTTCTGTTTTGGCTAGACTAACGAGTCTATGCATCCTCCAATTAAAATCATGTAACGAAATTGACATGCGGTTCATTCACATGGATTTAAAACTGCAGATTTAGGTCGACTGTAGGATTTGCAAAGGATGCGTATTGGCAACTGGGCATCAGCAGATATTTTCCAAATCTTTTCATGTTTTTGCTCATGTGATTGATCGCATCTTCGATCATCTTGAATGGGCGCCACCTTTCCGTTTCAAGCAAATGCAAGTGATATGAGAGGTGGAATCTGATTGGTCAGTAGGAGGGGATTAAAGGGACATAACTCTTAAAAGCCACTCGGGGCGCTACGATCGAGCCCAAAAAGTCCAGCCTTGTTCAGGCAAAGGTGGAAACTGGACTTTTCAAGTCAGTTAACACCCTTGCCTCGGGAAGATGACCTTTTCTATCTCTTGGATTTGGATCTTGAAACCGCAGCCTAATATAATTGTCTTAATGGCAACTAGCTGAATCTGTGAATACACAACGCCATTTAGAAAGTGGTCAAATGTAACAAATGTTAAATTATGGATGAACCTTTCTCAGTATAGTACAAATTCTAGTACTTTTTCCTAAATGGCATTGTGTGTTCATTGTTGTGTTCCAATTTACTTTAGAATTTGTTCTTAACTAAGAAACTGTTATCCCAAATATAACATTTTTTATAACTGAGTCAGGTGGTCAAGCTTCATGAATTGGTTGATTGTGAGTCTTTGTACTCTGTCAGCATGGGTCCCTGTATGCTCATGATATCAATCTCTGATTTGCCTGGGCCAGAATCCAATATAAACCAAGACTGTTAATCAAACTTTTTCTCCTACAGGTGAAGTTCTGTTCGTCCCAAGTGGATGTCCGCACTATGTAGAGAATCTTGAGGCATCTGTAGCCATCTCCGCAAACTTTGTAGACCTTTCTAATCTCTCGGCTGTGAAAAACGAGCTGAAGGTCAATGCCCTTGTAGACCCCCGAGCAGATGACCTCTTGAAGCAGCTTGAAGACCCCAAGTTTCCACAAAGTATGGACAGTACTATCAAGGAGTTGCCATGGCAACAGTTCAAGTTTTGGAACCTTGATAACTATCACATGTTTGATATCACTGCTGAAAGTGTTGCAGGAAATAAAACCTGATGAATCTATTGCATTACTGGTCCTCTTGTATGTGCTTGTATATTTGTTTTCAGAGTTGCAGAGGTTATTGAGTACTGATACCCACAAAATTTCAAAATCACTCAGATGAGGTGAACTTTCACAGTCGTCCTGACACTCTTGAATGATATAATGAGGTCATGGGATTCTGTGATAACTGAACCCAAATGGTTGTAAGAATATGTTGTAAGAACAAAACACAACAGAATTTGATCAATCATAATAATAAATTCATGTGGTATCCATTTTGACAAGCTGAATGGCACAGGGTTTTGTCAAATTTTAGAGAGTGAAAAATCCTATCAAGGAAGTACATGTGTATTCAAGACGTTAAAATATGGTACTTGTTGCTACCCTGTCTGGCGCCCGGCAAGGGGCTAAAACAAGGACTGGTCGGCTCGGAGTCAGTATACTGTGTCTGAGTAGGGTATTCATGTTCAACTTCGGCATGGTTTCTCAGTGAGCTAGCACTATACATCGGCACCAGTCTGGACTAGTACAAGCAGCCACACAAACACACACACATGCATGCACGTCGCTATATAAGTGCAATAATCTTGGACGCGACGTTAAACCCAATTTCACCTCACCTCACATGTGTATTCATACTCCGTTAAAAATCCACATGATTTTTAGGATCCCATCAATTGACATTCTGAATCGCAGCCTGGTACCGGTACCCGCGAGCTCCCTATGTATTGAGACATATAAGAAAATGGTTGTTTATTACTTACCAGGGCAAACATATCACGGTTCATGAAAATCATATGTGCACTAGGGTCATATCACGTCACGAGACAACAGTGTATTGTTTCCGTCATCCGGACGGATGTCATTCAAATTTTATAGTGAATATAGCTGACGTTTGTTGACGCCATTCCACAAATTGTTGTCCCGTGGCTGTTGAGACTTGCTGTTCTTATAGGTAATCACTCAAATTCTTTTCTGTATATAGACATCTTCGGTAATAAATAGAACATTGTCTCGGTGTTCATGCTAGGGCAAGAACGGGTAACTCGGTACTCGGGTTGGGTGGGTACTGATAAGGACCCGGGTACCTACAGTACTACCCGGACCCGTGATTAGTCACGTGATATATTGTTTAATGACAAACAGTATCTCAAACTCTGTTTAAACTACAAGTCACTAATGTTCTCAGTTCTTCCTGTCTACTACACCCATTCCTGGTGACTTTTGTATGTTTGAATAAAAATATAACTTCAGTCAAGTTCTGTGTATACACCAGATTGTTTCATACATGTATTTAAACACATTTTACCAGAGCTACGCTCAAAAGGTTTCCCAATCGTACAGTTTATACCTACCTCTTGAAACCTACAGCGGGTAGGGTCGGGTAATAGTGGGGTGGGTACCCGTGTAGTAAATGTGGACTCGTCCCAGTCCTAGTTTATGTCATACTATGTTTAGGACACTCTTGCCTAAATTCCGGTATTTAGACACTCCTGTCGTGAACGAGTATGACATGGACACGAATATAGTATCCTCTATGTATGATTTTGCAGCTGTTAAGGTTGATTCTATGAGTATACAGACGGGAGGAGAAGCCCTACAAGCTACAAGACCGGCTGTATTTGAGATGGTCATAATCGTCACAAAATATGCACAGATCCTTCTTTTTCAAAAAGCTGCATCCTCTTGTATTCGTGTTTAGGATGGGCCAGGTTTTAACAAGAAGGTAGAGGGGATATATTTGGATAATTGATAAAGTATATATATGTGCTGTGTACAAGTCACCTTTAGTGATACAGAATCATGTCTGTTCGCATAGCTATCAATTTTCTCATTCATTCGGGTGAGCCACACAGTGAAAAACGTGTCGAATGTTTTTTCTGAAAAAATAATCTTTTTTTTCTCATCATCATAATCTCAAAATGGCCCACTTTTTAAATATAATTAAGCAAGGGGATCCTATTGTGACATTTCTAGAAGGAATACCACACATCCAATTGTTATGTAAATTCTCTTCAAATTTGGGCTTACCGACATTGTCACCCATTAAGGAATATCACACATCTAACTGTAAAAGGCGAGATTGGGTAGTCAGGCTCACTGACTTGGTTGATGCATGTTATCGATCGTATCCCAATTGCGTGGACCGATGCTCATGATATCAACCACTGGATTGTCTGGTCCAAACGCGATTCATAGACCGCCGTCATATAGCTGGAATATTGCTGAGTACAGCGTTCAACAACAAAAATATCTAACTGCCATGTAAATTCATTTCAAAATTAGGCTTCCCGACATTGTCCCCTATCTTCACACCATTAAACACCAGTGAATATTTTGAGTCACGAAAAATATTCGCAATGTGATAAATAGAAATATCAAATTTAACCAATCGACCCAAAAGCCACGGAAGAATAAGTCGTGAAGATGTATATAAACTTTGTCAAGTGTGATTCTGAATTAGTGTTGGCATGCATAAAAGTTCTCTTTTACCATCACATTGATATGTTTATGGTATTCCACTTGCGCGAAACGTTAAATCACTAACACCACCCTCACCAATGTATATACATTTTGTACTTCTAATAGGACATGTTACAGTGCCGAAGAAATGGATGTTTTCAACGCTAGAGTGACGACGGTGCTGAACGTAATTCACCCATCGTGTTTATTTACAGTTAATCTACATCCAGTTTAATATTTTCTTCCATCTTTCACTTTTTCTTCTTGATCGAAGGATTGGTAATTACGTGGTACACAAAATGTATTAAATTTCCTGAAAGTGGACCTCATAACTTTTGTCTTTTGAGTCATGTAGTGCGTAATGCCTGGCCATAGTTAAAGAGCGCCTTACCTAGAGGAGTTACCTCCCTTTGACCGTGTTCTTATTTTGGCGAGCGACATGAATTGTCTTGTATTTTTTCTTTCAAATTGACTGTATATAGGGCCAGGGTATAAATAATCCCCCTCAATGTTAAACAAACACATGCCAAGTTAATAGAATGAGTCATAACTGTCTTTCCAAGACGAAAAAAAACAAACCCGGGATATAAGTCGCGTCTTCCAAACTAAAGCGTCTGTAAAATACGACATTTTGGGCGAGGATTTGAATCGGATTACGCTTGAGTAAATATTATTGAAGCCGATACCGCCATCTCGCGGATATTCATAGCAGCTGAATTTCGACATGTATTTGTGTATTTAATAACTTTTACTTGCTGGTGCAGTGAGTTAAGAATCAGATTCTGCTTCAACCAGTCAAACCTGTTTACAGCCATTATTTTAGAGCAAATGAATACAGTTTTACGCTGTCAGCAGTATTCAATCTTTGTCACGGCGGCCTGTAAATAATCGAGTCTGGGCCTGGCCAACCAGAGGCTGATAGCACGAACACCGACCCACGACGGTGTGTCACGCTGACCTCATCAGGCAACCCTTCCGACCAGTACGGGGAACCTCAGTCCTGGAATACCGACCACGAATTTATTTGAAAAAAATGATTCAACCGATTTGAATACGTTTAAGTGAATAACAAAGCAGACAGCGCCATCGATAATATTTTCCAAATTCCCGAAATATGCCGAGGCGAAGCTATTCAGGGTAACACGTCTTTCCGCCCTAACCTGTTTGACTAATACCGGAGTAAGCAAATCGGTCAAAAAAAAGTTTATTTGAATTAGAATTTAAACACGACACGTTTTGTCAACAAAATTAGCCTAAAATGAACAGTTTTTGTTAGAATAGGCTGTCTGTGTTTCAAAGCTCTTCTATACAGCTTATCTTAAGACGGCTAGTGATCGGTATCATAAGATCTGCACGTGATACTGTTATGTTGGTGTTTGAAGAAATCAGTCAGTAGCAACAACGTCTTTTTTCTGTATCCGACCGGTATCCCCGCTAGTGACACGGGTGATTGTGAAAGTCGATCCTGGAGACAGAGCGTTTTACGACCTAATTTGGTTTATTCGAGTGTTGCCTTGGAGATTATTTTCTTCTTTCTGTACTTTCCAGGTTAATGCTAATATAATCGCAGTTAATAACCATTGTTATCGTTAATTATTAGATCACTACTTTTCTTAATAATTTAACGTGCCAAAAAGTTTGAGTTATAGAAATGGATATGCTGGTTTATTTTTTGTGAAATCGTGTTCAGCCATGTTGAATTAAAAAAAAGTCCACTAAATTTTGACCTGGCTACGCTTGTAATCTATTCCCTCTCCGCCCTACGGTTTAGAACCATGTTAGGTAACATTCCCGACTTCCGTTGACTTGTAAATCGCAACGAGCGGTAGCTAAAGCACGCTTTGAGTGCGTTTGTTTAAAAGTTCATGTTGTTGATTGTACGAGTGCTTCCAGTGGATTATATTTCTGCACCATGTTCCTTTCTCTTAATATGTGAATGTCTTTACCTTGGCTGCATATTTTCTAAACAAATCCCCAACCACTGACAGAAAATTAAACATAATTTTAATCATTTCACAGGATAATCGCACTTTTCTTAGTTTCGATTTCAATGTTGTATCCCCCCGGCATATACTGCGGGGGATGTAGTCGACGCCTCGTCTCTTTGTCCGTCCGTCTGTGCATAATCATTTCGTTTCCGGAGAACAACTAAAAAAAACGTTCAATATTTTTCAACAAAACTAAGGTGATATGTTAAAGAGAACCTGAAGTGGTGCCTTTTGCTATTTACGGATTTTTTGCTTTTTAATTTTTCTCGAATTCCATGGAAACAATGTGTTCTTAGTCTCATAAGGGGGTGCATTTAGTTTCCGGAGCACAACTCAAAAACCGTTCTATATTTTTCAACAAAACTTGACAGATATATCGAAGAGATCCAGAAGTGGTGCCTTTTGCTATTTACGGATGTTTTACATATTTATTTTTCTCGAATTCTATGGAAACAATTTGGACTTAGTCTCAAAAGGGTGGGGCTAGGTGTCGTTTCCGGAGCACAACTTGAAAACTTTGACATGCGTTTCCTCCAAACCTGGTAAATGTATTAATCAAGGGCTTTATTGGG